TTTAATGGGGGGTTATATTCTCAAGCAGCCCTTGGTTACTTGAGTCTGAGGCTGAGTGTAAATTTGGCCTTGATATTAAGCCATTGAAATACTGCTGACTTTTCTTGGATTTCTGCTAACTATAAGTAATATATAGTTTCTGAGAATATGGCGGCTCACTAGAATGGGACTGTTGCTTTATGCAGGGGGATTATAACAGAGCAATAATAGAGCGCAGTCCCATGATATTCCATCACCTTGAAATTAATGTTGAGGTTATTGTCTGTCACAATCATGTGATTTTGTATTGAGCCTGGTGGATTGTGATTATGGTGCAGGTATCCTGTGGCACTGATCTGGGAGTCTGAATAATTGATGGCAACTATAAGTGGAATCTCTAACTAAAGTACACCCTGGCGTCTCTGTATTATCCTCCAGTAACAGTCGTGACTGTCAGCCTTCCTCTTTCAGACACAAGTATTTTATTTGAATGCATATAAGACATTTTAAAGTATTGCCTCACAAAACACAAAGATAACAACACAGTTGCTCACTTTTTATCTTTTGATGGCATTTGCCTCTTCTCACTGCAGAGGTTCAATCTATTGGAAATTGTTTGGATTGAAGCATCTTCCACACGAGGTTAATGGCTCCATCATCTCTTCAGATACACTGTGTTGCATACATCCTAGCTGTGTTCAGATGGTTATCATCTTCTGGACAGTTTGATCACTAATTGCTCATTAGTGATCATTATTCATGTGCTTTAAGGCATGCAAAAATAAATTTTATTGGTCATTACTGTGATCAACAGAAAGAGTTGTTCTAAAAAGTAAGATTAATAGGTTAGTGAGGCAGGTTCTCTAGCCAACCTAAATAACTGCTGTTATGGTGATGGGATGTTTGGATTTCTGGTTTAAAATCATTAGTGTGACAGGAAATTTGAATGTCATCAGGCTGTGACACACAAGACACCTGTTTTTCTGCTTGGTTTTAATTTGTTAGCAACTCTGTTTTTCCACTAGATTTTAGTCTATTTCTAGATTGTTTATTACTAAAATTATTTAACTGATTTTTTTCACTTTGATCTGGCAAAAAATACATTTAAAAGGTGACTTCCACATCTAAACATTAGGCTACTGGAAAGTGTCAGACATGAAAGCACCAAGTCACTTTAACATGATGGCTTCATGTTAGAAACTGTAGCACTCAGCAGATTCAATAACAGTCATAAACAAACATAAACACACTTCAGCAGCACACTCTTTTGCCTTCAGAACTGCTTTAATTCTTTGTGGCAAAGATTCAACAAGGTGCTGCCAAAGAAGCATCCCCAACTTCATTACATCATCACTACCATCCTGAACCAGTGATACGAGGCATACGGAATCCAAGTTTTCATGTTCCTTATTCCAAATCTTCTTTTGTCCAATTCTGGTGAGCCTGCGTGAACTTTAGCCTCAGTTTCCTGTTGTTAGCAGACAGGAAATACACCTGGTGTGGTCTTCTCCTGCTGCAGCCCATCTTCCCAAGCTTCTGTATGTTGTCCATTCATAGACGCTGTTCTGAATATCTTGGGTGTGACAAGTGTTTTTTTGAGCTATTATTTGCTTTCAATCAACCAGCAGTAACAGAAGAATGACAGTCTAACTGAAGTGACAGTTGCCATTGTAGTCAAACAGGCTTTGTTTTTAAAACCGCTATAAAGCATTAGTACATGTGAAATAAGAGCAGAAATTGTTCTTTAGCCTTCTTTACAGCTAAACAATACAGAACATGCATATATGTAACATGTTGGAAATGTGGAAAGGCAAAATAAATGGAGGTTTCAGATTTATTTAAAACAGTAAAAACACAATAAAAACATGACTAAAAATGATTAAAACAATCTGGACATTCTCTGACCTCTTGCATCAATGAGGGAGTTTCACCCAACTTGCGAGAACTGCTGCTCACTGGATATTTTCCTTTTTTTTTAACCCATACTCCGGAAACCCCGGAGATGGTTGTGTGGAGAAAATTCAAGTGGACAAGCAGTTTCTGATATACTCAGATGAGCCCATCTGGCACCAGCAAACAGGCCACATTCAAAGCCACGCAAATCCCCTTTCTTCGACATTCTGATGCTCAGCTTGACCTTGAGCAGGTTGTCTTGACCATGTCTACATGTCTAAATGCACTGAGCTGCTGCCATGTGATTGATTAGATGCATGCACTACTTGGCAGTTGAGCAGGGGTACATAACAAATCAGCCAATGAGAGCACATGCACTCCACATGCGTCTCCTACCTTTCAAAAATGCCTAAATAGGCAATTCAAAGGACAAAACAAAAATAATGTAAATCCATCCAATAGTTTATTGAATAAAAGCCCAACACAAATTTACAAAATTTAATCAGTCAACATAAAAATCAGTGACTGCGCACAATGTTCACTGTTAAAAATGTACCCCATGACAGATGCTTTAATTTATCCCCATCAAAAACAATCTGCAACCACCCCGAGCCAAAGCAATTCTGCTGGAAAGAAGCATGTTGGATGGATCTGCACATACTGTAGTTGGGAACTGATATTTGTGAAATTTCAGAAGAATAATTAGCTCTACCAGTGTCAAGAAGAAGGGCCTGTGACTGAAAATGCTTGGACAGCTTTACATTTCAACACTTCTGTCCATTGCACTCTGACAGGAGAAGCTTTCGCAAATATATATATAGATATATATAAACTGTATAATAGAAATCAGGAGGGTGTTTTTACTCATAACCATATACATAGGATGTTACAAATTCCTTCCTAGGAACAAGGTTTTTGGTTCCTTGCTTCATTTGATAGGTGATGTTAATGTTCCAAAACAAAACTCTATGCAAGAGCCCATAGAAATGACCTAATTTACAACTAAGAATATTACTGACAACTCACAACCCCCAAAAAGAAAAAGAAAATTACCAGTTGAAAGAACTAAGTGGTAATTACAATATGAAAAAAAAAACTAAACAGTTAAATTTAGCTACCAGACATGTATGCAAATTAAGTGACAAAACACAGAAGTTCAGTGGTTGCCAATTGTCTCATCAAAGTAACAACAAACTGTGTTTTCAAAGAGCCTTCACTCAATAAAAGGGCACCAAGGATCTAGTTTACTTGGCATGGCAAAGAGTGAGTGTATAAACAGGAGGGCAAAAGACATTCGCTCATGGCACATCCATTCAAACTGAGCTCAAAATCAAACATTGCTGTTCAACGAACGCTCGAAGGAACAAGTTCTTATTCAGTGAGCTGCAACATTCGAAACAGTGCAGACAGAAATGTCAACCACAGAGACGGACATCTCCCATGTCTTACAGTGCATTTCTCCCTACAGCGCTTTTCATGTTTCCAACCACTAAATAAGCAGGTGATATATTTTTTTTTTTTTTAGTTTTATTTTTCCCAGAAGAAAACCTTGGTACTCTCTCTCTCAGCCTTGAAAACTAGATTTTGAGCCCCCACTTGCTGTTGTTTGCTGAAGCTAGTCCAAGGAGGGTGGATGTTTGGATGTGTTGGCTGACCGTCAGGCAGCGTCCCGCGAGGTAAGGAGCTGGGACCGGGTTGCTCTACTCGATCAGCTTCTTAGCCTTGAAGAAACGCCTCAAGTAGAAGACCTGCCATGTGGCCAGCCCAATCAGACAGCACATGGAGAATATGCTGAAGTACAGCACGCGTGTGTTGGTGGATTCTGTAGACAGATGACCGAAAAAAGGGTAGCCATGTTATAGGACAGTGATGCAATACTCCTTGTTCATCACTGAAGTAACCACTACAAGCAGACAACTTTACTCTGACGTCTTTAGCTACTTCCTAAGAAAACAATAACAAAGGAACATTTGCAGCAGATGGCTGCTCCAGCCCTTCCCACAGTCACCAAGTCCAAGTTTATAAGGAGTTGTGTGACTTTTGGGATTGTTGGATTTTTAACCTAAAATACAGCTCCTTGAGGTGACGGCTGCAATTTGCCACTATATAACTAAAATTAAACTGAATTCAGTGAGAGAGCTACTGAATAGCTATGTATGTGCTGGGTTGTATTACCATTGGTGTCCCGCATCTCCTCTTCTCTTTTTTTCATGTAAGCAAAGTCATTCACGATGGACTCCGAGAGGTCTTCCAGGCGCCTGAGCTCAACCTCAAGAGGCTTCAATTTCTCCACCTTGGCAATCTGGAGGGACAAAAGAAAGTGATCAGAGGGAAATGGCAGAGAAGGTTGTACAACAGCTTGAGAAGAAGGGTTATTAAATAATTTGTCCAGCAGGTGTCAGTCTAGTGTCGTGTGTATGCCAAAGCATTCCTGTTTACACAGGTTCATGAGAATCTGCCATTCGAACTCTGGTGTGAACAATTGCACCTGAGAAAAGCCTGGGTGTGGTTGGCCTTGTTCCGCAACCACAACCAACCACAGCGTTTTATGATATCAATGTACGACGTGTACCAACTCAACTAGTGTGAACTCACTCACTGCATTTTTTTTTTTGCTGTGTGTTGCGTCAGAAAGTTTCTTGGTTATATGGTAGCTCCTGGTTTGTTTTTTTTGTGCATGACTTGACGTAAGCCACTAGAACAAATTCTCATCAGTGCAAGAAAGGCCTGGAAAACTGCCCAAAACACAGGTTTGAATGTTTCTACTTAATTTCTCTATGCATCCTTTAGTCGTGTGAAACAAAAATAAATAAAAGTAAAATATATATTTATTTATTTTTCAGGCCCACTCAGCCATTAGGACCTTGGATGTAAAAAACCCGTGAGCTGCCAAATTATCAAAAACACAGCACACTACAGCCGGCTCTACTAAGCACACATTCTCAAGTATTTTGCAACAGTGAGGAATTCTTGCAGTGTCTTTAACTACACCCTCCACTGAACAGCTTACAAATTTGTTCAATAAGTAACATGTCCATCTATGTAGGTGAATACATGGTGGGTGGAGCTGAAATTGCAGCTACCCACAAACAGGAATGCCCACTTGGAAGTCTCGGCGAACATCCACCAACATGCAAAGAACGGCATGTAATGTTTGTGCATGTGGGTGGGGAGGGAGGACTGATCATCAGCTCACAGCTCTTTATCACGCCTAAATTTTTAAAGTGTTGCCTAAGGCAGTCACAGTTAGTGGTAATAAATTCTCAGAAGGGCCCCCAAGTACTGTGACGATACACACGTCCCTATACAAGAAAAATTGAATGATGTGAAGCCAGGGAACCTCCCGCACACATTTCCAAAGCACCCTGACGTCAACACTGTCCTTCAACAAAAGACAACTACAGCAGTACTTCCAGGAAAAAAGACAAGTTTTAAAAAAGGAGGCACTGAGGTCACAACTGCTAGATTATGCTTCCGTAACATTTGATTAACATGAGACTAAACCTATATGTAACAGTGAAGCTATTGTAGGCTGCTTCAAGAAAACCTACTGACCTGATCTCCAAGACACCATGTGCATCATCTATATGAAAACAAACATTTCAGACTGATTCTGACCTCTTCGTAGTTTTTGGCCTCAACACCGTGCTTCATGTCCAGATTGACCAGCTGGTCAGGCACTCTTCCAGTTCCTGATTAAAAAAGCAAAAAACTTTAATCATCATATTCAATTTCACTGAAACATTTAAAATGAGCATCATTTATATTATTTATCCTTTCTAGCACTTTTTTTTTTTTTTACCAAGCTTCACAAAGCGCCGTAAAAGAATACAATGTATTCTTTTACGGCACTTTGTGAAGCTTGAACTAAAAATCACTAACTTACACACCAGGAAAGAAAAGCATTGTAAAACTTTAACAGCCACTGTGCAAATAGGAATCAATATATAAAACGTATAGATAATTGATGTATTTGTAGCGATGCCCTGATTTTGAAACATTGGCTTGATGTGATGATGATAATTTGTACTCTGGGGCCTCTGGATATCTGGGGCCTGGATCTCCTCCATACCTGCTTCATACCCTGGGGGACGGGGCTATGGCTCCCCACACTCCCTAGCAGATCGTTACATGGAGAAACCTTGGGAATACAAGCATGCTGATCCACACAGGTATGCACACAGGTGTACACACGGGTGTTCACAGACGCGGACTACACCTTTCTTGGCTGCTGCCTCAAAGCACATTGTGCGCTGTCTATCTTGCGTGCTGCACAATATAATATTTAATATTTAGTATCTACTGTTATCTACTGCTAGCTAGTTTATTGTGATGGTGCTGTATTTATTATGTTGCTCTTTTTTTGTTTGCTTTCTCTTCTGTTTTTTTTTTTTCTCTCCATACAGGTGATCCAGGTGTTTTGTTTGTTTATCTTTCTTTCTTCCCCCCTTTCTCACCGTCTCTTCTCCCCTCTGGTTTTCTTTCTCTCCCTCTCTTTCTTTCTTTCATTCTTTCTCCCTGTCCTATCCCCCAGTCATATCTGTCCTGTTTGTAGCAACCGAAAATAAAATAAATTCATAATTATAATAAAGGTCAATCAAATGGACCAATATGGCAAGGCCATGATGATCCACTTGGTAAAATAAATCCGCTTGGCATCTTTCTTGGCCTTAAGACAACAACTGATGGCTAAAGATCCAAACGGGACACAAAAAAAAACAAAAAAAACATGATGATAATTTTGGCCTTTCTTATTTCTTCCTCCTATCTGAAATGTAGAAATTCCCATAAAGTAAAGAATCAATAAATGTAGTCTTTCAGTTGTACATTATGTCATGTTGAACATTTAGCACTAGTTGTTGTCACCAGCCACCTTATAGGCCAACAGTGGCTGGAATATCACTTGCGTTCATTTATTTTATTAATCATTTGCATTAATTACACTTTTCAGTTTCATACAAATCCATGATCGTCTATCGATATAACCCAAAATCACTTCAAAAATCTACTAAAACTAATAAATAATACGGGATAAAGACAGTGGGTTAAATGGTTAATCAGAAGATTTGACAGTGACCAAGGCATGAAACCAAGGGTGTGTGAACAGCAGAAGCTGTCCATAACAAACATGGGGGGTTGGCATGCTTACCCATGGGCGATTTGCTCTCGAAGCAAACCTCAAACATGTCATAGTCCTCTGTGGTGAATGCAAACTTTCCTTTTGAAGCATCTTCCTTGGAGTAAAGTGTGTGGCCAGAGGAGTCTGTGATCTGCAAAGATACACAAAAGCAATAAACAACAGTCAAGAGCTAAAGAAACAGCAGAATATTAACCGAAATATTTATTTAAATCAATACTGAATTACTTTGCTCTTTAATGTGGGAATTTTAAATCATTCACCAGTATTATCACTAATAATGGTATTTTTATGACACCAACATGAGGATTTCAGACACTTCAACTGTGTCGTTTTCTAGATAGTTATAGGCTGAGATTGTGATTATGGTTGCTTGTCATCCTTACATGTGTCTGAAAATGCAAGGCTGCAACACCCCACGCAAGCCATTAAACTGCCAGCTGTTAGAACATGAGGGGAGTAAAAAAACAAAATAACTTCGTGAGGATGCAGTGCAATATGTAACAGTATAAATATCGGTCATTTTCTTTGATGTGAGGAAAATCTTTTGACATCTTCATTTAAATAATACACAAACCATCATTGACGTGTTGGAAGCTAATGTGCTAATGTGGCTAGGCTGTGCTTGCCAGCTGAATGGACCCTAAGACTGACGTGTAATAGCAGCAGAGACCAGACGAAGTCACCGGCAGGGTCGTTTCTCCAATGTTTTAATATAAATACGAGCACTGTGTGTTACAGCGAGTGCTCACTAGTGTCAGGGTATCTTAACTAATTTTTTAAAAAAGTAAATTACCCCTCAAATTAACCTGAACGGGAGTGTTAGCGAGCACTGATGGTAGCCAGCTGGCTAATTAGCTTCTAAAACCAGGAAGCCGAGGTTTTCTGGGCCTGGGCTAGCTACAATGCTAACAACAGTAGACATTTTCGCAGCCGAAATTACTCAATTTAACATATATAGCCACGAGAGTCACTTGTAAGCGATGCATCGGGTCATTAAAAACCAGATTGAAGCCATTTCGGCCCCGACAACAAACTTGGTAATGGTGAGGGTAGCTAGCCAGCAGGTCTGCGCTCACCTTCAGATTAGTTTTCGTGTTCGCCTGCTCGCTTATGTCATACTCCCCCGTGACTAGCACGTCTTTGTGGATCTCCTCCCGTAAACACTTTCTGGTGTTGACCGGTAAAAAGAAGGAAATTGATAATACCGATTCAATAAGAACCGGTAAGAGCAGTAGTGCAGCGACTCGAGCCATGGCTACCATCAACCGACCAACCAGACCGTGCCAGCCAACCAGCTTAACACCGACTTCCAACTCACACTACCGGCCTCCCTTAGCACTCCAGCGCCGCCGCTGGCCTGGACATGGAACTCCAACTGCAGATCCTGTGTCCGTGAAGTTCGGGTGAGGTCAAAGTGTTTTATTTTTTGTTCATTTGAGTTGATCTTAGTCCCTTTACAGTTATTTTATTATATTATATCCAGGCTAGCCAACTGGTTAAGAGCAATATTCATGGAATTAAGAATAAAGCATATAAAAATATAAACACTTTGTCCAGGCAATTGTCTTCTCTGTGTACTTCCTCTTTTCCTCCTGCCTGGCAGCACATGTTTAAAACCTTTTGTCCAGCATATCTACTATATCTAAAACTAAAACTAAAGACATTTGTATAGAACCTGGTATTTGCCCATCACAAACCCTGGTTCTTATCTGAACATACTGAACTTTATAACTTGACATTTTAAGTTTTATGTTAATTTTCTTGATGTTTTGAGTTAGTGAGTTGAAATTTTGATTTATGGGTGGCAAGAAATGTTTTTCTAAGAAATATTTTTTGTTTTGTTTTGATTGGAGTGGCGGAGTAAGCTTTAAATTAGATTTTTAAAGTAACTGAAACAGTTTTGCACCTAGTTTTAGTTTTTTGTTAAGTTATGGTTTACTTTTATAACTTTGGTGCAAAGACATCCTTTGATCATGTGTAAGCTAATCCTGACTGCCCTCTGTACCACTCACTGGGCAGGCAGGGGAGCACTTTCTATATTCTATTTAGCGAAGCCCTCAACAACAGAATCTTTTCTACTTCATATAATAACGCTCCACATCGACATTACATGAAGTAGAAAAGTAGCAAAAGAAAAGTAGAAAAGCATTTCACAAACGGAAGGAAACACTGGGGGGGGGAGAGAGAATTAATGTTAAACCTGGGGAAATTTACAAGACATACTCAAAAACAGATGGTAAATGAGCTTTAGTGCTTTGGTGTGACAAGCACATATTGTATGTTAAAGGACTAAATCATATTGTATATAAGTGTGTCACAATGTGTCAGAGGAATGACTACAACTCTTGAGTTAAATGTTTTCCTAAATTAATCACAACTCCAACTGCTCAGAGCTTTTCTTTTTGTGTATATTGGTCATAAACGGAGCATTTAAGTGAAGTGCGTAATTTCTTCTTGGAGCATACCGTATCAGGTTGCAGGGATTTTCCTGGCTAAAACCAGTTCTTTCTCACTAAAACTGGAGCTCAGACTTTTGTACTGTTTGTCAAGTTCACGCAGATCAATTGAAAAAAAGAAAGAGAAAAAAAAAACTAACCACGTAGCAAACCATGTTATTTGCTAGATATTGTCATTTAAAATTTTCATGTAGGCACCAACAGAACATGAAAGGTCACGAGTTCAGTTCAGTTACTGAAGACAGTTACAGAGACGTGAGAGGTTCAAAGCAGACAGCAGCCTAGTCAGCGTTCACCTTTCAGTCAAACTTTACTGTGCGCCTGCTATGAAAACATAAAAACTCGTAAAGAAAAAAAAGGGAAATTATTATTTACTTGTTATTTAGTGGAATACTAACAATAAAAACATGTACATGTCGAATATTTATTGGTTTCTTTTCTTCGCATTTTTGTGTCTAACAGGTTAAGGCTGTTGTTAGTAAAACAATGAAATTTATACCTATCTTCTTTCCACTTGTCACATTTTGCAGAGCCATTCAGTGGGTTACAACAGAACCTTTGGTGGTCTGGTTCTGGTCTTCAGGATGTGCCTTAACATGATGATTATATAATTTGTATAAAGCAACCACACAGGCAGGGGCAGATCTACTGTGGTGGCATGTGCCATCCTAAAATAATCCCTTGCCATCCCTAGTGCAACCATAGTTTTGCATATGACTGCGTTGTTTATAGCATGAAAACTTTTACCCTAGCTACAGTTAACATTGAATATAAATTCTAAAACTTAATATATTGCAAAATGTTACCGTCGCATTAAAAATGTGTTACCCATAGTGTTGAGTTGGCTTTATTTCCTGTTGTCAGTAATGTTTGACAGTACAGATTTCTGACCTTATGTGTAAATTTAAGCATGTAACAAAAAAGTGCCAAAGAGAAGTTAGACTTGCATTTCTAACTGATCCACCTAATGTTGTGTAGCTTTCTGGAGTTTATACTTATTGAGCTACATGCTTATTTATTATGTTGGCTGTACAGTACATAAGATTGAACTGAAATGTTTAATGATTTGGGATAAAGCCAATAAGAAAGTTATAGACTTTGTTATTGTTATTGTTTATATGAAACATGTATACTTATTGCATTTGATGTATTTTCACCATTTATATATAATGCATATTACAGAATGTAACAACTGTATGTGTCTAAAGAAATGGCTTTGCTTTTGCCACCTCCTCTGATTTCCATGCCACCCTCATGCCACCCTAAGAAAATTTCTCTAGCTCCGCCCCAGCCACACAGGTCTTGTTAAAAGAGATACCTTAGCTTGAAAAACCAAAACAATTTCTGTACCAGGCTGTAAACATGTTTACTGTAATAGCAGAACAGCCTACTCCTACTTATGACAGGAAAATCTACCTGGTTTCTTTTGTTTTGTTTTGTTTTTAAGCCTTTTGGAAGGATCTGTAGGAAATGTTCTTCAAGCTTTCCAGTGTATTTTAACCAAAGACTGCATATGAGAAGGAAATGACCGCTGTGACACAGGCGTGTTTCCAAGATTTTTTAAGAACCGTGGCACAGAGGTACCAATAAGTCAGAATATTTCATCAGAAGTAAAAGCATTGTAGAAAACTGGTGTAGAAAACATGATTTTTAGGCTCACACGAATGCCTGTATCCAATGTATTAAGTTAAACATAATCTTGCACTGGATAAAATTGTTTCAAAGTGGAAAAAAGTATTTAGACTTTTCACTTAAGTAAAAGTAAACTAAACGTTAAAATCCTAATCAAGTAGCTTAATAGTGCACAGGTTCATTGTTTAAATTTTAAAGCTTTAAGCTAGTTACTTAAAGCTTTAAAGTAACTAAAGTAAGTGTACTCATTATGTGGAATGGAACCTTTAGAACTATATATCTACTGATTTGGGGGATTATAACATTAACAGTAATGTTATCTAATGCCCTCATTTTAGGCGGCACAAATCATTTGTAGGGGGGCATCAGTTGGAGCTGGTGCCATCCGATGCCCCCCTGGAGAACACACCCCTGCTCTGACATTAGTATCATCACTATGCTATCATCTAGTGAGATAGCTAGCTAAATATACATATATTTTTTAAAGTTTTATTCTTATTCATCTTTATAACAGGTATTCTTATTGTATCATCAGATTTTTACACATTGCTTTTTCATTTCTGCTTATTTTTACTTTTATTGTATTTTATTTAGTCTATTGTTTATTTATTTTTAGGCCCCTTTATTAATTTAAATTCCATTTTTCTGCTTAACTGAGCTATTCTCCTTTACTGAAGTCATTTTTACACATTCTCTTTAATTCCTTGGCTGCTGTACCACTGGCATTTCCCTAGTTTTGGGATGAATCAACTATATTTTATCTGGCCTTAAATAATTCACTGAGATGCAGTCGAAAAGCTTGGGCCATTAAGTTACTTTGCTGAACAAAGAGCAATTTTTTACCCCTGCCCCGGTAGTGGTCTTGTGTGGGATGGAGTGTTTACATCAGATGTATTGTTTGCTCTGTAGAGTGCTCCAACTCCAAAAAATGAGTTTTCTGGGTACAGAGACAAGGTGACCTTGCACAATAAACTAAATATATCATTATAAAGATCATCACTATTCACACTATTCATTTATTCAAGCATCCTATCCCAATATAAGATATGCAGAGCCCAGAGCTGTAGCTGCAGTTCACAGAGCAATGATTAACAGTCATTAGGACAAAAATTGTTCTGGACTTTTATGATTCTCAAAAGGATGTGACCTGAATGGTTGCCTCTGTCTCCCTGTTAGCCCTCTGTTCGACTAACACCACTCAGTAGACTGGTGGTCAGTTCCTAGACTGGTGGTCAGACTGGAAATATGGGATGTGCAGTAAACAACAAGAACCCCACACTTTAACTCACACAGCAGCAGCTGTATTTACAAAAATAACTCTCGACTTTCCTTTGAGGGAGCTATCATTTTCAGAAAATCCTTGTGTTAGTGTTTTGCAGACCAGAGAATATTTTTAACCTGGGCCCCCTAGTGGGTCAGAGAGGCTATATATCTGAGACTAATGTTAGTGGCAGAGCGTGGGAAGGCTTGTGCAAACAAGCCAGTTCAAGGTAGAAAGAAGCACAATAGATCGATCAGGGACTTTAACTCCTTTCACTGAATAAATAGCAGTCTTATAGAAGAGTTAGAAGTCTTTTAACCCCCCACAATCTGCTTATTGATATCTAAATATTGTCACTAAAATCCGTTTATCATTACAGTTACTAATAATCCAGATCCATCCTGTAATCGCTGGATCTGGATTATTAAACAGACATATTATGTTCAGTGTTGGCTTGGGTCTTTTTGAAAATCCCAAACGCTATTATTTTTCTGTCAGCAGCTCAGGGATTACCCAATTATATATGATAGAGCTGTCCAGTTTCCAGGGAAACATCCTAGTTACTGATCCCATGAGACAAGAAGAGGACACGCTGCTGAGTGGGGAGTCTGGCAGCAGGTGAACAGTAATTATTGGATAGAGAAATCCCTCCAGTTTTGTAGCTTATTGCGTCAAAACCTCTAAGAATAGCAAGTCACACACACTCCTCTGTGCCGCAGAGGAGCTTAGGCTACAAATGAAATTCACAAAACTTTACATCCAACAATAATGAGTAGCCTGTATTTGAACTAGTTTCAGCTGTTCTTGAAGTGTGAAAGTCATGCTTGTTCAGAAAAAAAAATCATTTGCTTCTAACTGTTTGTTAATTTCAACCCTTTCTGGGCACATTTATTTATTGATTGTGAATGAAACATTTCAAGGAGTAGGATGAGAGCTTCTTTTGAAATCTTACACCTGATTGACTG